GCTGAGATGGAGAGTGATGTTTCTTGCCAGGTTCTTGACGGGCTAGCAGCTCGGATAACAACCGCGGTTCAAGGCTATCATCCTACATCAAAACTATTTGGGGAGTGTTGTTTGCAGGTATGCTATCTTTATTGCTTTTTATGCTGATTCATGAGGTATGATGTAACTAAACCACATTTAGGGATGGAACCGGTGACACGAATATGAGTATTGTATCAGTGAATAACAATAGAAAGAACAACCTGAGAGTCTAGATGGCGATTTCTTAGAAACATAATAAAAACACCTCATGGGCTGTATTAAAAATAAGACCTTTTAAGTCTCTCAAACTTTACTGCATTCATATAAGAGTACTAATTTATACGGAGAAGCGAATAAACTAATTTCATTATGTGATCTGAATTGTTTGAGTCGCTACCACAGTTTGTTATATAGTTGTTCATCTACCGGGGTGGCAGTTATATTCTTTGGATGTGAGCATCCCAAGCGTCATGTGATATGGAGTTTCTATTGGGATTATGGTTCGAAACCCTAGCTCTAGAACATGAATCTTTGATGCATAAAACAGCAAGAAGATGCAGTGATCGAGTAGGAACGCAAAGAGCGATGGTCTTGAGAAATACCCCTGGCGAGAAACTTGTGACGAAACTTGTGACGAGATGGTACAGAAACGAAGCCAAATTCACAGTCCAGCCATTAGTGTATTCAAGGGTATACTCTTTAACTCCATATTTTTTTTCTTTAGTTTCCTCTTCCTTTTTGTGTTGATTTCCTGTTTATTATCCAGTTCTAGTTGTATTGTGTATGTTTTAGGGCTTGAACAAAGATGGAATTATATTTAATCCTGTTAAATGATTGATTTCGTTTATATTTTAAATATAATGCACTCTTTGATTGTTTTTTATATGTTATGTTTAAAGCTTCAGGAAAAATTTTATGTCGTATTGTTTAATTGATAATTTTGGAGGCTGAGTCTCAATCCTTGCCCGAAAGTGGCAATTTATACTCCTTATAAATTTGTTCAGTTTGATAATATGAATTTTTTGTTTGTGACTTTGTATAGTCTTGTTAATTTGATAATCTAAATTTTCAATTTGTGATTTTGGAGGCTGAATTTGAATCCTTTCTTAATAACAGTTTGATAATGACCTTGTCCTTTCGTCCATTCCTGTTTCACGCTCCTATGTCCACAGCAACATGGCCGGCTTCGTCAGTCTTCTAAAAGTCTGCAAGAGCGGGAACCCACAACTCGCCATTGTCTGTGCATCTTCAAGCTCCGTCTACGTCTTGAACTCCAAAGTTCCCTTTTCTGAATCGGACCGAACAGATCTGCCGATGAGCTTCTATGCCGCCACCAAGAAAGCTGGTTAGGCAATCGCCCAACCCATCGTCTCAACTCTCATATCCCTCACGGCCTCACCTGGACTTTATTCTAAGGCCCATTAGGTTCCTCTTGCGTAGTTTCTAACTTCCTATTTTTTTAATGTTATTGACTACATTACAACACATTATACGGAGTAATTTTATCTCAGATTTTATATAGCCTTCTACTCTCATGTATCACCTCTTGACAGGTAACTCCTAAAGATGATCTTAGGCTCAATCTCCGCCTAAAATATACTAAGAAATCTCCACATGGTGCAGTATTTGTTAAACAAAACCTCCTAATGGTTAGTTGGTCTCTCCGCCCTCTTTGTTGAAGTAATATCTCTGTTACTCACATTATATTCAGCTGAGATGGAGAGTGATGTTTCTTGCCAGGTTCTTGACGGGCTAGCAGCTCGGATAACAACCGCGGTTCAAGGCTATCATCCTACATCAAAACTATTTGGGGAGTGTTTTTTGCAGGTATGCTATCTTTATTGCTTTTTATGCTGATTCATGAGGTATGATGTAACTAAACCACATTTAGGGATGGAACCGGTGACACGAATATGAGTATTGTATAAGTGAATAACAATAGAAAGAACAACCTGAGAGTCTAGATGGCGATTTCTTAGAAACATAATAAAAACACCTCATGGGCAGTATTAAAAATAA